ACTGTGTGCTGAAGACTTGGGGGGTACGGGGGGCAGGATTGCAGGGTATACCCTTTGGTTGGCTGATGATGCATGGAGGGGATTGTAACCATGGCAATGAGACAATATACAAAAGAATGAATGTAAAATTAATGTTTCCCGTTGAAAACTATCACCTAATTCACAATAAAACATTTAAGCAAAAAAAAAACATTTTTAGAAAATTAAGATTTCACTTTGAGGACTAACATGCACCAAATCCAAGCAATGTATGTCCATCACCTCTTATACATCCAAAAGATGCACAATGAAAATTAGACAGACAGAAGAGGAACTAATGCAATCAAATGATGGTGTTTGGGAAGAATACGGAATATACCCTGGGTTGCCAGAAGAATAAACATATCAGTCTTAGGAGAAATACAACCAAAATGATCCTTAAAAGTGACAACGACAAGACCTTGGCTCACTTTTGGCAAGTCATCAAGAAAGACTAACAGTTAAAAAAGGACACCGTGTTCGGTTAAGTGGAGGTCAGTGAAAATGAGGGAAATCCTCTGTAGGATGGATTGACACAACAGCTACAACAATGGATTCAAACATATCGATAATAATGAAGATGGCACAGAAATGGGCAACATTTTGTTCTTTGACATTGCACATCATGATTCAACAGAAACTAACATCACCAATGAGTTATGTAGATTAAACTGAAGTATAACACTTGGCTCATTGTAAGCACTCGCTAAGACGTTTTAAAATGAAATAAAAAACAACTGAATTTTTATTATACACAAACTAACATCTGTGATGTTAGAATAATGTTAGAAAATACTATTTCTATTTTCACATCAATTTAATATATAAGGATGTGGCTCTGTGGGTTAATGCGCCAGACAGCAAAGTCATTTGAACTGTAAAGTCAGTGGTTCAAGCTCACCAGCTGCTCCTCAAAAACTCTATACTGGGTCACTATGGGTCAGAATTGACTCTACGGCACATTAACAACATTATAATACAAACATATTAAGAACCTAGCTTAGCTCTGTTATCAACGGCTTTGTTCTTACTTTGTTTCCTAAGTGGGTGATCTTCAGAATTCCATCTTGCCACACTTTAGACTTCTTCATCTTCTGATGAGTATAAAGCACCTTATTCCCAAAAGTACAAATGAAACAGTTTCAACTCATACATATTCAGTGTTATGCATTTTATATCTCCTTCTTACATGTAAAAAAATATTTAAAACTTCTTTTATTGAAATAAAATAGACATCATGAAAATATAACAAAAAATTAATTTTTTAAATGCACAACAAAAAGAATTAGGCAGTAAAAGGTAAGAGAAGAGAGAAAGTAAAAATCTAAGAAAGTAAAAAGTTAACTGAGCACCAAAAATAATTTTGAGTAGCTCATTACTAGTGGGAAGGGGAAATTTTGTGGAGTTACACAGTACTCATGATTCATGCGCTTTCAAAGCTCTGATTATCCCTAAAACCTTTCTAGATTCAGAAAGTGAAAATTATATTCATGAGAATTCTATGATGTTACTTGCATTTTCATTCTCATTGTTTCAGGTATGAACAGTGGAGTTTTCCACAAGCTATATTATATCCAATATTATAACAGATTGATATAGAGGTAGTTATGAGAATCCAATTGTCTTCTATTAAGGCCAAATGTTAAAGAGATTTACAAAAATGGAAAATGACACTGAGAAGCCAATTGTCTTCTAAGGCCAAATGTCAAAAAAAATTGACATTTATAAAAATGGAAAATTACATTATTCTTTTCAATTTTTTTTTCTGCTCTAGCATTTGTTGTTTTGGAAAACATACCTATTTTTCATAAAATGTTATCTATGTCAATATGTAATTGAGTTTATCAGTATTTTAATGAAAAAATAAAAATATTTTAAATGTTTTAATTTTGAATATGAAAATTCCCTACAAACAAATCTCTACAATTCTTACAAACAAAAGCTCTTTGGGGTCCTCAATAATGTTTAAGGCAGTAAAAGCATCCTTAGACTAAAAAGCTTGAGAACAATTGATTTAGATATAAGAGGCATACCAGGTGTTCAAGAAAAAGGTATTTCTTCCTGGTCCAAAGTTTCTAGAGAATTAATTACAAATGGCTTTGTGCAACAAACATGAATAGTAGCAAAAGATAAGGTTGCTAAATAAAATACAGGTGCCCAACTAAATTTGAACTTCAGATAACAATACTATTTTAGTATGCTGGTAGCGGTGGTTGTGTGCTATCTAGTTGGTTCCAACTCCTGTAGAGTGACGCTGTGGAGAGTTTCCGAGGCTGTAAATCTTTACAGGAGCAGAAAGCTTCATCTTTCTTCCAAGGAGAGGCTGGTAGATTCAAACTACCGACCATGTGGTAAGCAACCCAACATGTAACCCACAACACTACAATAGCTCCTTTTCATTACAGTAAATCAAAAACCAAACTTGCTGCCACTGAACTGATTCTGACTCATAGCAGTCCTGTTTCTGATGCTGTAAACCTTCAAGGGAGTAGAAAGCCTCATCTTTCTCCCATGGAGTGGCTGCAAGGTTGAAACTGCCAACTTGCAGTTACCCGTCCAGTACTTATCCTACAGCGCCACCAGGGTTCCTTGTTTTAGTAGCATAGTGGTTACAAATCGGGTTTTGAACCACAAGGTCAGCAGTTCAAAACTACCAGCTGTTTCACAGCAGAAAGATGAGGCTTTCTGTTTCCGTAAAGATTTACAGCCTCAGCAACCCTGTACAGGGTCAATATGAGTCGGAACCGACTCCACAGCACATAACCACCAACCACCATGCCTCAGATAAGAGGAGCCCTGGTGGCACAGCAGTTAAGTACTTGACTGTAAATTCAAAAGTCAGCAGTTTGAACCCGCCAGACACTATTCTGTGGGGGCAAGATTTGACAGTCAGCTTTCATAGACTTACAGACTTGGAAACCCTATAGGGCAGTTCTACTTGGATTCGACTCTATGGCAATGGGTTTTATGTCACAATACTGAATGGGACAAACTTAACCTATAAAAGTTATGTTTATTTGATATTCAAATTTAACTGATCATCCTATTTTTTGCTAAATCTTACAAGACTAACAATATGTAAAATGGAAGGAATGAAGGCAGAAGGAACAATGGAAGGAGGGAAGGAAGAAAGGAAGGAAAAAATGACAAGGACATAGTCAAACCAGGTTTAAGACTTACAATAAACTCTTGGCTTTCCATTGTTTCTTGTGAAGTTATAAATCAGTCAGGTCCTGCAAATACTCAGTGATTACTCAACTTCTTATACTACCTAAAATAAAAAATAGACAAAAAAATTCAACCTTGCTAAATGTGGAAATCATTTAACAATATCATTATTACATCCAAGTATAATTTTGTTGAAGGTAATTCAAAAACAGCTGCAACAGTACATTGACAGGGAACTATCCGAACAAGTGGATACAAAACACATGGAACTAGAGATATCACTGATGTTAAATGTCTCTTAGTTGAAAGCTGATATCAGAAAGATGAATATTTGTGCTTTATTGACTATGCAAAGGTTTTTGTCTGTGTGGACCATGACAAACTACAGATAACAATGAGAATGGGTATTCCAGAACACTTAATTGTGCATATGAGGAATGTACATATAGGACAAGAGGCAGTTTTTGAACAGAACAAGAAGATACTGAATGGTTTAAAATCAGGAAAGGTGTGTGTCAGAGATCAATGTCCTTTCACCTTACTGATTCAATCTGTATGCTGAACAAATAATCTGAGATGCTGGATTGATATGAAGAAGAACGTGGCATCAGAATTGGAGGAAGACTCACTAACAACCTATATGATATGCAGATGATACAACCTTACTTGCTGGAGAAGAGGACTTAAAATACTAATGGAAATCAAAGACAACCATCTTTGGATTGCATCTCAAAGTAAAGAAAACAAAGATTCTCACCATCGGATCAATAAAAAACAATGATAAAAGGAGAAAAGACAGAAGTTACTAAAAATTTCATTTTGCTTGAATCCACCATCAACACTCATGGAAGCAGTAGTCAAGAAATCAAGCAACGTATTGCATTAGGCAAATATGCTGCACTAGACCTCTTCGACATGTTCAAGA